TATCATTAACACATTCAAGAATGTAACATTGCTATGACAATAAACAGTCAACATTCAAATAGACCTAACTGTCCAATTGCTATTTATAGGTACTTCTTTATTCCCTGTCCCAGGATCCAATCAAGGATCATGGTTTACATTTGGCAGTTGTGTCTCTTTAATATTCTTCAAGTTCTCTCACTTTTCTTTGATTATTTTCTTTGTAAAAAGACTACAGGGCTGATGTCTTACAGAATATTCCACAGTTGGAATTGGTCTGATTGCTTTATCGTTATTAGATTCAGGTTAAACATTTTCACAATAATACTACACAGGTAAAGTTGTGTCATATCACTCTATTACATTAAGAGGAGCAAGGTGTCAGCTGGTTTCATTTCTGGTGGCAAATATTTTGGTCATTTGATCACCATCATTTAACATGGTGTTTCCAGACTCTCCTTTATAGAAGTCAGTATTCTCCTTTGTAATTAATCCACACATGGGGGTTAATATTTCTTTAAGGCTATATGAGCATCTTGTTCTCCAACATTTATACCTACAGTTTTAGCATCTATTGATGACTCTTGTCTTCATCAATTATGACACTGGCAGGTGCAGCATTTCTAATTTTATCTCTTTAAACTTTATTAGCTGGCATTCAGATATAAAGACGAGCTTTGCCTTTCCTGATGAGCTCTGTGGGCTTTTCATCTCCTTTGTTCTGAATATTATACTCCCACCAATGCAGCCTAAGATTGCAGTAAATTATTTCTCATAATTGTGTCACACAGGTCACTCAAAGAACAAATTGCAGTTCCATTTGAGCATGTAGAGTTTTAAACAATTCATCATATATTAGAGCATTAAAGTGTAAGAATTAATTAGATATGTTCATGTAATTCATAGGGGATATTGCTATTTCTTTAGCATCCTGACTTAGTTAATTTTTACTTTTTCAAAGCTCTCTCCTGGCCTCTTACGTTACTTCCTGCTGGAGGTTTACCTACCGTCTGTCACTGGACTGTAGATACATGCTTAGCAATAAAAACGATCACATAACATTTCTGAAAATGATTGTAATTCTATCCATAGCTACAAAGTCATTTGCCAATGATTTTCTCCACATCAGCATTACATGTTAACATGTTAGGGCACAAGTGTTTCTTATTACATGGTAAGATTAAATGAGAATTATAAACACTAAATATAGGAATAACATGGTACAATATTGCAATGTGATACTCTGTAGAAAACCCTTGATAGAGATACTGCTAACATTTAAGCATATTAATTATCAGAAAATGTTCTAAGTGGTTTGAAATTAGGATTATCTGGCTCACCTTTTTTCCCCCCCAGAGAATACAGCAGAGCCTAGAGAAGCTAAAGATCACTTCTTTCTTTCTTTCCACAAGGACACTTCTTTTCAAGGACACGGGCTTCTTCTTTTTGGTTTGGTTCATAGAATCAGAGAGATCCCTGAATTGGTGTCCCTCTCATGAGTGCCGTCATTCCTCAAGCTTACAGAAGAAACAGATGTGGCCTTTCTTCCCATAAAGGCTGTATGAGGCTGCAGCAGTTAAACATACTTCTCAGCTGCATCTTCGCAACTGCAATTTGGCACTGCTTTTTAATTTATCAAATTGAAAAAAACATAAGGCAAAAATTATGAGCCATTTCTCTTGTTATTATACTGATTATACAGATTCAGCATGAGCAAGACAGATGCTAATTTGTGCATAAAGCACATTCCTTTTGACAGGAAAATATATATAAATTGTGGTTGAAAAAAGACAAGGGTAGTGCTAAAAGCATTTTTTGATTTGTGTGGAAAGTTTTCAGTGAAAGACATGATCTCCTGCTTTATCACATCACCAATAATTCCTAGATACAGAGTGTCAGTAAAGACAGCCAAACAAATCTCTTCTCATAGAGCCTGGTGAGTTTGGCAATTGGGATATTTGAACCAGTGGTGAATCCAAGCAAATCACGGAAGATAGGTGTGACTGAGAGAAAACAATGAGGTCACCTGTGTCCCAATTTTTTGCAACATTTCTTCTACAGAAATTCCAATGTGACCTTCAGCAATTCCCTTAACAGCTTTTGGTTTCTGTTTTCCCATCAAGATGTTTGGGTTACATGCTGGCTGTGTACCTTTCAGCTATAACATTTGATACATGGATTCTATTTTTCAAGCTGAGTGGAATGAGTTTGTGATCTAAGCATCTTTGAACTGATATAAATTCAGAGTCAAATAACCCCCATGACAGGTGGATTTTCCCCAAATCCCATTATGACCTAGAAAATTTGGTATTAAAAGCAACTTTTCTCCCAATAAACTTATAAGCACTTAAGTGCCATAAATTCAAGACCCAGTCAGTGCAACAAGAATGATGTCTGCTAAGAATGATGGCAAAGCAGAGTTTCATAAGAATGGAAGATTAAAGCTTAAAGCTGAGAGAATATCTGTGGTGATGGATGAACTTCTCCTATTTAACCTGTAATAAAAATCATTCTCTTCCTTCAATGCCTAGTCAAAAAGCTACTTACCCTATAAAAACATCCCGATCGCCCCTTACCCACCCTATTTTCTATTCAGTTTCCTTTCCATTTTGTTCTATTTTCCCTTCAGTGTGGTCTTCTATTAAAATTAGCTATTCACATGTCAATTTCTCCCACTGTTTTGTATACTTCTTGAGCCTGACACTTCTCTTTTGCTTTTGTGTTCATTCTTTTTACTTTCTTACATTAGGAGGTCTTGGTAAGAAATGTGGAAGGAACAAGCTACTACCAACTGAAAGAATTCAGGAAAGTTCAAAAGGAGAGAGGAGATGCCAGTTAATATGGTCCATCAACCTTCCAGGATCCTCCTCACTGGAATCTTGGCGGAGTGATGTGCATGCCACCAAGAAGGATCCTGAGTCAGAATGACTGGCCACAGACAACCTGGAAACTAATCCCATCGCCATAAAACCCAAGACTGAGCCATGTGGCGCAGCAGGTCTCCTGGGCTCCCTTCCCCTGCAGCTCTTCACCGAGGCACCCTTTTCCAATACAGACTCTTGCTCTCTCAGCATGTGGTGTCTCCTCAGATAATTCACTCTCAAGCACTAGACAAGAGCTCACTCTCAGGCCCTGGAAGGGTCCTGCTTCCTACAACAAAATGATTAAACTGGCCAGTTGTCTTAGCGATCACTAGATGCAATTTCTAAGTATTAGCCTCATTACTCAAAGTAAATAATCTCACACCAATAAAAAAGAATTAACCCCTCTTCACTGAAATTGCTATTGATTAATGACATGTACTTTCCACTCTCTGTTCTCATCATGATTGTAGACAGTTAAGTACTCATCAGTTTCTGGCAGACAAATGCTAAAATGTACCTGACTGAGCTCCTTGAAGTCAAGGATCACGTCTTGTACAGTTCTGCACTGCCGTCACTGGGCATGACATCTGGCAGTAGGTATCTGCTCTATTAAGGCTTACTGAATGGAACGATGCTGACCTAAGGAGCTGGGTTAGGATTAGATGGGGAGCTGTGGGGAGAAAACAATAGATTAGCTGTTTTCTTGGATGAATTCAAGAGAGACTTCCAAGAAAGTAAACAAGGGATTGCAGCTCCCAGTGAAGCACATTATTTACAATATTTTGAGAGTGGCTAGTCTTTAACTGACTATAGTTGACCCCGGAGTAACTCGGGGTGGGGAAGTGTTTGGGGCACTGTCCCCTGAACAGTCCTAAACCCACATGTAAGTACAGTCTGCCCTCTTCATCTGGAGGTTCTGATTGGTGGACTCAACCAATCAAGATCATGCAGTACTATAGCATGTATTTACTAAACTAAATCTGTATATAAGTAGATCCTCACAATTCAAACCCATACTGAGGGTCAACTGCAGTCTCATTTCAACAATATATGCTTTTTAATAAACTTGTATCAAAGGATGTGAGACAGTGAGTGTGAGATCATGAGATACAAAAGGAATCATTTAATATTCTAGATTGAATCATCTAAGGTTATCTCAGTCCTGAATATTCTCTGGGAGGACTGATGTTGAAGCTGAAACTCCAATACTCTGGCCACCTGATGTGAAGAACTGACTCAATTGAAAAGACCCTGATGCTGGGAAAGATTGAAGGCGGGAGGTGAAGGGGACAACAGAGAATGAGATGGTTGGATGGCTTCACTGACTCCACGGATATAAGTTTGAGTAAGCTCTGGGAGTTGGTGAAGGACAGGGATGCCTGGTGTGCTGTAGTCCACAGGGTTGCAGAGAGTTGGACGTGACTGAGCGACTGAACTGAGCTAAGGTTGTCTCATTTTTTTCTTATTTTTTAAAAATATCCCCCAAACAGCATTTATTTACCCACTGAACTCCAGAAGATATAATTTAAAAGTCTAGTATTTTATGATCATCCATTTCGATTGACATGGGCTGACACAAGGATGACAGCCAAAGAATTACAAAAAATAAATCCATGACTCTTAAATAATCCTAACCTCCCCCTCCACCGAAAGTATCAAAACTTCAGATGTATTCCATTGAAAAGAAGGTTTGTACAACTCATTATTTAAAGAGGGAAAACAAGATGCAACTTAATCATCACGTGAGGCTTATTATTAAGCGGATGGAAAGGAGCAAGGATCTCTCCGTCTCAGTTTCCCTGAACAGTTTTCCATCAGTTTAAGAAACAGGCAAGGCGGTGAATTCATTTTTGCATGCACAGACATACTGCTTTAACAAACATTACCTGCTTGTTTTAAATGAATCAGTTAAATAGCTGACTGTTAAATAGCCTGTGTCCGCTAATTCTCCCTTTTAACTTCCCCATTGCTTTCACCTCCATTTCACTTAGATGAGCAGGCATAGTATAGAAAAGGCCTCCTTGGGAACGCACAATTGGAAAAGGAAGCTTCCACGGGCCCAAAGCAATGCCAGTGAACTTGTCCAGTACTGCTTCCCGCGAGAGCGGCGAGGAGATCCGAGTAGTCTGAGTAGCTGACAAGTTGAGCACTAGATACTCAGTGATTGTGATGAGGCAGGGTGGGGGTCAGGACCGAGGCGCCGGCGCCGTATCCTCCAGTTTCCTCGTCCTGTCGGTTGCCCCTCCGGAGGGGGATGTTGTCTCGCAGCAGCCGCAAGACGAGCATGCAGTCCTTACAGAAATCCTCGTTCAGTGAGTCCAGCTGGGTTACGGCAACGTGAAAGGCTAAGAGGGAGGCGTGCCTGCGGTCTTTGGATCTGTGGGTAGAACATCGGGAAGCTGAGTCGTGGCCTAGCCGGATGGGGCGCGTGGGCTGCAAGTGCTCTCGGCTGATTGCGGAGGCTTCCTTTCCTCAGTCTGCAGAACTTGGGACCACATCGTCTTCCTTCTCACCGGAACCCGCCCCTGCCAGGCAGCGACAGGAGTCGCCTTTCATCTCCAGGTAGGGTGGAAATCACTGCGGCTCCTCATGAGGAACTTGTCCAGAAGAGCCAGTACGGCGTTGCACACCATTTCCAGCCCCTCGTTGATCTTCGCTCGGTAAACCTTAACCGTCTCCACTTTCTTCTCATTCCCGGTCCGCGTGGTTTTCTGGTCGACCATCCTCCAGGAAGACAGTCAGGCAGCACCCACGTTCTTGTGAGCCACAGAGAGGAGGTCTCAGTGTTCAGTGAGGACAGGTTCGTTGAGCTTGGTCGCGCCCTTCATCGCGGAGGCTTGGGCCAGCCGCAGGGGCAGCCGCTTGCGGTGCCCCTTGTCGCTCTGGCCGGGCCTTTCCTGGCGCCCCGCTCCCTTGCTCGCCCATGGCGCATGCGCTCCTGGCCGCCGCGGAGGCCACTGCCACTGCGCGTGCGCGCACTGGCTCGCCTGAGGGTCCCGGCCGCAGGGGGCAGGCAGCTCCGATGGCCGGCAGCTCGGCTGGCCTTCTTGGCTGCCTAGACCGCTGGGCTGGGTTGTCTCATTTTCATATTTGTCTGGAGTGTCGAAAAAAAGTTTATAATTCCTTTTTCCTCCTTTCTAACATATGATTGAGATTTTCTTTTTTATCCACTTCACGCGCTGATCCATAAAATGGATAGTATCTGTACTGTTCACTTAAATAGTGTCTGAGCTGCAGGAGGCAGCATGTGAGGGAGCGTGTGGCAAACCAGAGCCTGGTGCATCTGGCTGTTGTTGTTCGGTCCCTCAGCTAGGTGCGACTCTGCTGTGCCCCATGGACGGTATGCAGCCCACCAGGCTTCTCTGTCCGTGGAGTTTTCTGGGCAAGATTAGTAGAGCGGGTTTCCATTTCTTCCTCCAAGGGATCGTCCCCTCCCGGGGATTGAACCCGGGTTTCCGAGTCTCGTGCATTGCAGACGGACTCTACCCCTGAGCCAGCAGTGAAGCCCGGAGCTGGTTATGCACTGGTCAAAAACCTAGCGTAGGGGCGTGATGCCCGGAGTGATTTTTGGCAGTTTTTAGTATTGCTCAGTTTCCTATTGTTTCATCTACATGGAAGAATACATAAAGACTATATAGAATGTGATTTTCTTTATATTATATATGATAAGAATACAGGAAAATATTCCCTCTATATGCTCAGAGGTCTAGGGTCAGAATAACGTCGGAAATGGTACATGCATCACTTAGATATTCTTAACACCCATTAGTACATCAAGAACCTTTGAGAAATTGTTTAACATTGTTATCCTAGAATTTTCTGTGTATTTGACCGTTTTGGATTTTCTTTCTCCTACTTCCCTTCCCTATCACTCTTCCTCCGTCTTCTACTTTGACAGAATATCTAATATTAACGCTATATTTTAACCTCTGATGTGTTCCTTTCAAAGGCCTCTAGATAGGTTAGAATTTATTCTGAAATAAAATCAGGCTAGGAGAAAACTATAGCATAGTCTAGATTGCATAGATCTGATGGTTTACTCTCATGGAGTTTCTTTTTGATGCTATATTCTCATAAAAATACCATCAAATCTACCTTTATGTTTGATATAGGAATGCTGTTTGGAAATATTGTCCATCCCAATGTTCACTGCACATGAAAATGTTTTTTAGAAAATTTTCTGTTAATTGCTAGTGAAAATTTTCTTCTTCCAAATTAAAGCATCAATAAATGTATAACCTCCATGGTTAATGTATAACCATGTATAACCATCTTGTATAACAAGATGTCAGGAGACAGTTTGGTTTAAGAGTGATTATTTAGCAACTTAGTGATGATATTCACAGCAATTACAACTTCCTTTTTTTCAGCTATGCACTTTCAGTGTCAAGCTTATTATCAGGCTAGCCTATGTCATTGTTGTTAGGTGTTTGTAGTAGCACTGGGAGTCAAATTCTCATGAGTAACATCCTAAAGAATAACATATGCCAAATTTTCTCAGAGTCATCTAGCTAAATGCAAAGGAACATCTCCAGAGAACCCCCAGTTATCTCCTATAATTTCATTGGCCAGAACCAGGTTAGGTGCCCGGCTACAACACATACTAGCAGAACAACTATTGCAAAGGAGATGAGATGATCATGGCTGGCTTAGGTTAACCATAATTTACCCCCAATCTACATAACTTCCATAATAAAAATGTGTTGTTTTTATTTTAATAAGAAAGAGAAAGGAAGAGATCTTGAGTAGGAAATGTAGAGTCTATTCAAAACACTTCCAGGAGCTCCTTTTCATTTAAAAATAGAAAACAGATTAAATTTATAAGCCATACATGTATCTTTATGGCCATTCTACTTTATGGCCCTTTGTTCTACTTTTATGTCTTAATCTCATTATCAATTAAAATTTATCTTCCTCTTGCTCATAGTTTTTCTGTACTTTTTAAAAAAGTATGTATAGTTTGGTGTTTTAGACTTCACATGTTCTTCAAAATGATGTATAATATATGAAAACTAGAGCTATCAGATACAAACTAGGGGATAGAAGGTGATTAGGTAACTGTTCTGTGTTTGAATATACAGGATTCATTGGCATTCCATCAGAACAGTTAGAAAGTGACTTTGGGCCAAGCCTTTAAAAACATGGCTGTGGTAATCAACTTTCCTAGCATGATAACACTGAATATTCTCAAGCAATTAACATCTCTAACTTACAGAAAAGCAGTAGTGGTGGCACTTTAGGTAGAATTTAATTAGCCAAGACAAATAAATTAGGTGTCATGCTTCTATCAGGATAGTGAAATTGCAGAGGCTGGTTTGGAAATTTCAAGCAATTGAATATGCCATTTGACCTCTTAAGGAAATTAACTTTTCTAGCTGCCATTCTGAAAAGTTCTAATTAAGCCATATTGTTATTATTGACTTATTTTGTTACATTGGATGTCATATAGACAACTTTCTTGGAATTCTGGAAAATCTTTCAAATGCCTTTTTTCTTAATGTACAACTGCATGATAGGTGAGATGGAAGGCATCTTGCGATGGTACGTCTCAACTGGACCATAGAGAAGATTTATAGATTTAATCATACAGATCCCCAAAGATTCACTTTATTCTTTCCATATGGGGACCCAATTTGAATTACATTTCCTTTTGTACAAGAGTGTTATAGGATTAAAGAATGCATGGAACATTTGAAAAAATGAGCCTGTGTGGTAAGGGGAAGAGACAGATGTTGGCAAGGCAAATGTAGACTCATTTTATGGGGAACTAAATAAAGAATGGGAAGACTTACATAAGAGTGACAGTTAGTAGTGATCCCAAGGGAAATGGTTCAATTAAATAATATACAGGACAAAAAGTATTAGAAAAGGATTTGTAGGTAGAGATATAACTAATCATAGGGTTATGCAAACTTGGAAACACTTTGGTTGGTGCTTAAACTAAAACATATTTCACTAGTACAATTACTTCAGCAGAAAGTAGGAAGTATGTGTTAAAATCAGCAAGGACCCTGGAGGGCACAGACATAATGAAGAGGAAGAAAACATTTGATATTCTTGCAGTCAGAAAAGAGAGAAAGGAAATGAAGCGTAGATGTCTTTAGGAAGAACAGTTAAATGTATGTGATTATAATGTCTGATACTTCATAAATTATTCCTATGTGATGGGTAATTGCATGTTTTCTCAACCTCCCCATAAAATAATTGATGAAAGCTGGTGTCTCACTAATTCTTTGTGAGATAGCATGCATCTCAGGAATGTAACAAAGGGTCAGTTCTGGTCTCTAACAAAGGTTAGTTCAACTGAATCTTGGAAGCACAGCTGCTTGAGATTCTATTAGTTGTATTTCGTTCTGTAAATGGACTGATTTCATGTTTGTTTATTTCAGTTTTGGAAAGAGATATGCCTTTTTATTTTTCTCCATGGCAGAGGTCTGGAGTTATCTTGGGTTCTGCTCTGTTCTTCCATCTCACCACAGAGCCAACACTTCTTCAAAAAGGGCCTTCTCTTTGGGGCATAGCAGTGAATTACTCGGGTGTATGGCATTATGGGGAATAATGAGGGGCTGCAGGGCACACCAGTTCAGCATTTCTGTAGTCTTTGAATTAATTACCTGATTATTTTGTCTTTGGACAGCCCCTGCTGTTGGATGACTTCCTATGGAATACTGGGGAACTTCTCTGGAGTTTTGCATGAGATTCTTGGAATACATGGCTTTCACCTTTGTGGTAGTCCTCTCTATCTGTTTTGGGTTTTGCGTGTGTGTGTGTGTGTGTGTGTGTTTGTGTGTGTATGTGTGTGTGCAAACATATGCATGCATTTTAAACACTCACTGTCTTATTGTTTCCAATTTCCAAAAATTTCATAAAAAATTTTGCCTATCAAAATAATCTTTTCTTGTTTCTACCTAATATCTATTTATTTTTATTTCAATTAGATTTTGGAAGGAAAGAGAAGTATGTGGGATTAGTCAACTTAGCCATCTTTAACCAAAGTCACAGGTATATATTCTTGACACTTTAAAAAACTTTATGTTCAGGGTGTACGTTGGTCCCCTCCAGTGACCTGGTATCCATTTTTTTCTTAACAGGTTACAATATTAAAATTGATTCAGTTGTTCATACATCATCATCTCTTAGTCACTAAGTCATGTCCAACCCTTTTCAATCCCATGGACTGTAGCCCACCAGGCTTCTCTGTCCGTGGGATTTCCCAGGCAAGAATACTGGATTGCCAACCCAAGAAAATGGGTTGCCATTTTCTTCTCCAGGGGATCTTCCCCACCCGGGGATTGAACCTGGGTCTCCTGCATTACACGCAGATTGTTTATCATCTGAGCCATCAGGGAAGTCCTCATACGTCATGCTTTCTGGCTAAGGGGAAAACATCCTTTTGGCCCAGGAACGCTCTTCCTGGAAATGACCAGTTTTTATATAACCCAACTCATGTAATTCCTGCTTTGGTTTTAGACATTAGCTTAAAGCAGGATTTGATTTAGTAAACAGCAGTTAACCAACTTTTGTGGTTATTATCAAGGCATTGCATCTGCATGTGAAAACCATCATAAGTAAAAGGAATATTGATGGAATATGAGCTGGTGCTGTACTTCCTGCTTGCTGATGTTCTTTTATTCTCCTTTTAGAGCTAGAATATTAAAATTTGACTTACAGATAAGTATTGCTAAGTAAATATTCAAGCTAATAAAGAATTATTAAACACACTTAGTGAGGAATCAATTTTCAAAGTGATTGAGTCAAAAGAAGCCACGTATGGTAAGGTCTTGAGCATAAATAAAAAGCCCTGAATATAAATCTTGATGCTGTCACTCTTCATGATATTCTTTACGAGAGAGTTACCTGTGCTCCTGCCTTCCTCCCAATTTCTTCCTCTGAGAGTCATATCATCTTCCTAGGAATAAAGGTCATTCTAGCAGTAATATCATGCTTTCATTGTTGTTGCTGCTGCTGCTAAGTCACTTCAGTCGCGTCCGACTCTGTGCGACCCCATAGATGTCAGCCCACCAGGCTCCCCCGTCCCTGGGGTTCTCCAGGCAAGAACACTGGAGTGGGTTGCCATTTCCTTCTCCAGTGCAT